CATTTAGAAACCAAACACTTTGCAAATTATATCTCTGGAATAATTAAACATTAGCAATGATAATAAATAGAGCAACAATAAGAAAATGGTAGAAGAATGACATTTCAGATAAGCCTGCTACAGCTTGTCCACTGGAGCAAACAACTATTGGAAAACCTTAATGAGCTCCTGGTTGAAGGAAAAATTTTTTAACTTTATTGTATATATGCAACAGCCAGTTGAAATATTTCAGAAAGCTCAGTTCAATTTTCTATGTAGAATCCAAGCAAATTTTCAACAAGCAAAGAATCTTTTCTTTTATTACACAATTGTACTAAACACATTTGTTATTGTCTGATACCTCCCACAGGAAAGTGAACTCTATAAAAATAAGGACTTTGTTTTGCTGTATTCCTGGTGTTTGGAACTGTGGCAGGCATGGTACAGGTACCTAATATTTGTTGACTAAATTATTGAGTGAATCTGAGGCAAGTTGACAAATAGATTTTTCCCTAAGCAGGTGACAGGTTTTTGTACATTTCTATCAGAAGCATACATATTGTGTATTATCAAGATTCCAAGAGACTCTGGGCATCTTACAGTTTCCTTAGGTGAGTCTTTTAGTAGTCTGAGAACCCTGGGAAAAACCCTACAGAAAAGCTCAGTAGGATGGCACCAATTCTACAAGATATTTGTGTAGTCAACATAGTAGAATGTGTGAAAATAACTGAAAAACATCAACAGTCAGCCAGGGATGGGGGCTGTCAAAATGTGTCACACAGGAAGTATACTGGCTTCCTGACTTCCACACAACAGGGGGAGCAGTTTCACTCAATTGAGAAGGCAAAAGCAAGTGAGATCCAGCCTGTCTCCTTCCACTGGGGTGTGGCAGGAACTCAGAGACAGGCCACAGGGAAAGGAGCAAAGGGGAAGTGCTAGACAAAGGAAAATTTTTGCCTAACTTAGAGTATGAGCTACTTGTCATTAGGTAATTTGGTCATTGTGTGAATATCACAGAGTGCACTTACACTTACACTTAGGTACCATTGAAGACTTGCTCTGGCCAGTAATTTTCTTCCCCAATCAGCTTCACATTAATAGTAGAAGATTCACCATTTACTAAGTGGGTCCATATTTTATTTCAACACTGAAAACAAACTTCTTGTTTTGGCTTTTGTCATCATGGTGAAGAGAAGGACAGGCTCTGTGTCTGGTCTTCAATTCAGGTCACATTGGAAGTTTCTCCCTACCTGACATTGGCTCTTTGTGGATTTCTCTTGATCTCTGCCTTCAGTGAAGCAGGTCCTTCAACAGCTCTGTCACTTTGTTTTTGTTCTCCGGGAGTGTTCCTGTGGTGGATGGCTATTGTTTAATAACCATCATTGATTTTCCACCTTTGTTGTTCTTTTATCACTTTTAATTTCACTTTTGGTCAATCACTTGACGTGGCCTCCTGGAGGCCACATTAGCACTGGAATTTGTTTGTTTAGGGATCATGATAAGCAAAACAAAATGAGATGGAATTAAGCACAAGGGAAATGATGCAAGTGACGCCACATACGTGAGATGACTGAAGGGGCTGCTCATATATGTGGCTCATTGTTGACCAAAACATTGTTATACAGAGCGTCAGTGTAATAAATATTGGAGGGGAATGAGAGGAGGATGGCCATAGCTGAATACAAACAATGATGAAGGCACATTTGCTGTGGGAGACAAAGAATGCTTATCACCAGTGTCCAGTGCTACAGAATAGGTGCAGCCACCTGCCACCTGCCTGCACATTAAATGGATATAAAATTGTCCTGAACTCCCTTCAACGTCCTAAGGAATGCAAGGCTCACACCAGGATTGAAGCGCTTACCCAAGGGGACTGCATTCCCATGGCCTTCACCCCTAGTGCATACTACAGTGATGCAAACGTGAACCTCTTCCCTTTCTGTGCACACACACACACACACACACACACACACACGCAAAGAGTGGGAATAAATCTCCAAGAGTGTTTGAAGGTCACAGAGTGGAGAAGGCGTCACCCTGCACACTGTTCTTAAGACACCTTTGGCTCCTCCCACCTGCAGAGAGGATGCTCTCCCACAGTGAGCAGCAACTCTCCCCAACTCACCTCTCCTCCTTTTTTCCCTCCACTCCTCGCTTTTCTCTCCATCTTAGTTTCTCATATGGAGCAGTTTCATCCTGACTTATTTTCACTGCTGGACTCCTGATTTCACAGTCTCATCTTTTATTTGTCAAGTCTCTTCTTAAATCCAAGAGTTTTCTACTTAAGACCAGTTCATTGACAGGCATTTTGATAACATTTTTACCCTGCAAGCAAAAAAAAGCAACATCTGCAATCTGACCTCTATGGAGAGAGCAGAGTATGAGCTGCAGAGGAAGAGGGTTGTCAAAAAAGTAGAAGAGGAATGCAGATGACACCAGAGATGAGGCATTTTTAGCCACAATTTGCTAAGGGATTGGAAATTGATCAGAGTCTGACAATATATTTGGATTTATATCTATATAACCATATTTTAAATAAATATCAAAACTGTTTATAACTTTATTTTATAGAAGAAAACAGGACATTCTCAAAGAATGATTTTGTTGTCTTTATAAAGCTTCTGGTTAAAAACTTGTGTGAGTCAGCTTTCTGTTGCTGTGACAAAATACCTATGATAAACAACTTAAGGAAGGGAAGGTTTATTTTGGCTCAGTTTCAGAGGTTTCAGTTCATGAAACCTTAGCCCCATTGCTTTTGTGCCTGTGATGGAGATATTACATCATGACAGGAGTGGGTGGTGAAGGAAACCTGTTCACCTTACTGGGAAGGTAGTGGCTGGGAAGCAAAAGAGAGAGAGAGGTAGGGGAAGGGTCAGGGATCCCAATATTCCCTTCATGGGCATGCCCCCAACTTCCTCTCACTAGGCTCCACCTCCTAAAGGCTCACCACCTCCCAATAATGCCACAGACTGATGACGAAATCTTCAACACATGGGCTCATAACCAACCTGAAGACAGCATTACAGATTGACTTCTGAAACAAATGGGCCATAACCAGGGATTTCAGTCAACTCCTGGTTCTCAGTAGGCAACACTAGTAAGTAGAGTTCGTTAGAGAAAAGTTTATTCTTTTCTATATGGTTTACTACATGTTATATAAAATGCCGTCTGTCTATAATAGCGTAACATTTTATTATGAAGTCTTTTAAAAAATATTGTACATTCTCAATGGAATGTTATTCAGCCATAAAAAATTTAAATCCTGCCATTTGCAACAACATGGATGTAATTACAGGACACTATGTGACATGAAATAAGTGAGGCCCATAATGTCCCTTATATGTGGAAGCTAAAAAGCTGATCTTATAGAAGTAGCATAGTGGTTACCAGAGCCTGTGAAGGGCGGAGGGTAAGGGATAGATAGATAACGGGGTTGAACAGAAGGACTAATTTCTAACGCTCCATAGCATGGTAGGTAGCTATGGCTGACATCAATTAATTATGTATTTCAAAATAGCAGGATTTTGAATGTTTTCAACACAAAAAAGTGATCAATATTTGAGGTGGATATGCCAATTACCCTGATCTGATTATTTTAAAGTATATGCATGAACTGAAATGTCACACTCTACCCCATTACTAGGTGCTAATTAAAATTTTAATATATAATTGCACATTCTGTGAAGACCAAATCGTATACCTACCACAGAGGTTCTTCAAGTTGGCCCCAGGTCAGCAGCCTCCACATCACCTGGGAACATTTCAGGGACACGGGTTCTCAGGCCTTGTCCAGACCTATTGAATAGGAAATTCTGTGGTGGGCCCCCCATCTGTGTGTCTGTGTCTCAACAAGTTCCCATGGAAGCTGAATCAGTTGTCTCCCTTCACTTTGAGAATCACTGTTCAAAGCTAGCATTGCTGAACTTATGTACAGATAGGAACATAATAAAATAAATCCAGACTTCTTTCCCCAAATGACTACTCCCTGATATTTCCCAAGACATCCAAATTATCCACCAATTAATTCAATGTATTTGTTTATCTTCATTGGTAATTAAAATGCACCTACTTCAAGAAAGTGTTTCAAGATTACTCTAATTCTTATTTAGCCACTGGCAGAAATAGTCAAATTACCAAGCGCTCTTGAAGAAATGCTTGCCCTCCCAGGGGAAATGGTGTTTTTTGCTGCTCCTAAACTCTGCTTACTGGCCCTGACTCTGATTCTGGGGTGATCCAGGGTGATGTGGGGCATTAGGGTTGAGAAACCTTGCCTTCCTGAAGCAGAACCACAGTGAAGAACAAAATCTTGACCTTGAATAGAAAATGAGATGTGACATTAAGGATCCAACCAGCAGCTAAGCCATTATGCCAGCCTTGAAAGGAATGCTCTGCCTCCCCACGCTGCCAGCTCCTCTCACTGAGCCAAAGCCAGACAAAGAACAGGGCTTATTTATCAAGGCAGTTCTTGCCCTCTGCTCCTGAGACCATACCTGCTGCTCCCAGGGCAAGACCTGGCTCTGCAGAAGGATAATTCACCCATGAAAACCTCACCCCAATAGTGGAGTCAAATCCAAAGGAAAGTCAAATATCAACAGGGCAAAAGCCATTCAAATGCCACTCTCTAGCCTCAAAATGCCAAACACTACCTGTTGCCCCAGCCAGTTCCCTGGTCCACAGTCTGCACCAGGAACCTCTAGAAACCAGATTGCTGACAGGTGGCTTGTGGTTGGTCTTTCCTGAGTTTGCAGGTCCCCCTGGGGTAAGGGCTGTCACAAAGGCTGTTCTGAGGAACTGAGGCATAAGGTCATGTATCACTGCCCTGTGACAGCAGAAAGCCAGCATCCACCTATCCCAGGCCAGGCCTAGCTTCACCCTAATCCTTCAGATGCAAACAGCCTTGCGGACCAGTATTCAAATGCCTCTGCTTGCTGCCTTTTATGTCTCACGGTGGATTCCCAGGAGCCTAAATTTTGAGAAGTGAAACTGAACATACCACTCCCTTCATGAGGAAGAGGAAGAAACTCAGAGGCCTTTTCATTTGGGCCTGTTGTTTTCCTGTTGGTCACACACAGGCCTTTACCATGAGCAATGTCATGACCACCCTCCTCGTCTGGGCTCTGATTGCTCCCAGCAGTGGCGGCCATGGTGGAGGGGACGCTTGGCCCACACACATGGCCTGCAGCAATGAGGGCTTGGAGGTGCTCTACCAGAGTTGCGGTAAGACCTTTTGAAATTTCCTACTGTGTTTATGGGGTACTTAAGGCCCATAGATGTGGGCTGCCTTAGCACTTAGTTGGTATGGGTAGGAGAGCCAGAACCAGCAGCCCAACACTTTCTCTACCTGAAGAAGGCTTTCAAGAGCCACTGGAGCCTTGAGAGGAGAGGGAAGAAGGAAGGAGGACAGCCTTAGGAGAGCAACAAAGAGGTCAAAAGAAAGGAAATAAGAGTCTAACTATAGAGCTGTGCAGGATGGTACACACCTGTAATCTCAGCACTTTGGAGGCTGAGGGAGGATCACAAGTTCAAGGCCAGCCTGGGCTGTCTCAGAAAAGGGGGAAACACTGTTGATGGGAATGTAAACTAGTACAACCACTCCGGAAAAAAATTTAGAAGCTACTTAAAAAGCTAGACATTGATCTACCATTTGATCCAGCAATACCACTCTTGGGGATATACGCAAAAGACTATGACACAGGTTACTCCAGAGGCACCTGCACACCCATGTTTATTGCAGCACTATTCACAATAGCCAAGTTATGGAAACAGCCAAGATGCCCCACTACTGACGAATGGATTAAGAAAATGTGGTATCTATACACAATGGAATTTTATGCAGCCATGAAGAAGAACGAAATGTTATCATTCGCTGGTAAATGGATGGAATTGGAGAACATCATTCTGAGTGAGGTTAGCCTGGCCTAAAAGACCAAAAATCATAGGTTCTCCCTCATATGCAGACATTAGATCAAGGGCAAACACAACAAGGGGATTGGACTTTGAGCACACAATAAAAGCTTTAGCACACAAGGGAGGGGTGAGGATAGGTAAGAATCCTAAAACATTAGCTAGCATTTGTTGCCCTTAACGCAGAGAAACTAAAGCAGATACCTTAAAAGCAACTGAGGCCAATAGGAGAAGGGGACCAGGAACTAGAGAAAAGGTGAGATCATAAAGAATTAACCTAGAAGGTAACACACGCACAGGAAATCAATGTGAGTCAATGCCCTGTATAGCTATCCTTATCTCAACCAGCAAAAACCCTTGTTCCTTCCTATTATTGCTTATACTCTCTCTACAACAAAATTAGAGATAAGGGCAAAATAGTTTCTTCTGGGTATTGAGGGGGTAAGGGGGAGAGGGAGGGGGCGGAGTGGGTGGTAAGGGAGGAGGTGGGGGCAGGGGAGAGAAATGACCCAAGCCTTGTATGCACATATGAATAATAAAAAAAAAAAGAAAGAAAAGGGGGAAAAAAGTTTAAATATAGAAATCACTAATAGCAGCCCCCAAAATAAAATGATCAATGAGTCTTCCAAATCATAAAAATTAGGAAAAGATGCCTCCAAGATTGTGCCTCTTGGCAGTGTGTTTATTTGCAAATCAAGTGAAAAAGTCACTTGTGCCCAAGAATTCCCATGCTCTGCTGCCACCTCCAGAGTTCCTGTGGTAGTTGTGTCGCTCAGTAACTCAGCAAGCACCTGGGAAGCAGCAACGGATGCCAGGTTTTCTCTCGTACAAAAGGCAGCAAAAGTGAGGGCTGTGATTTGAATGTGAGTTGGAAGCTCAAGCCCCTGTGCAACTGTGCTTGAAGGTGGGACATAATGAGAGATATTAAAGTGTGAGGGCTCTGCCTTCATGAGTGGATTAGTGTCTCTTTATCCAGAATCCAGGAGTGGGTCAGTAATAAAAAGGCCAGTTTGGTATCCCTCCCATCCTCATCTTTGTCCTTCTCTCATGTCATGACACAGCAGGAAAGCCCTCATCAGATGTTAGCCTCCGGATCTTGGACTTCCCAGCCTCCAGAATGGAGAGTCAATAATTTCTGCTGTTATAATCTACCCAGTCTGTGGTATTCTGTGCTAGCAGCACAAAATGAAGCAAGACAGTAAGTGAGGTGTGGTCTTTGTCCTAATGGGCCAGAGCAAGCTGCCTCCAGAGAAATCACAATCCAATGACTAGAACATCTGAACCAACCTATTAGGGTGTGTCTTTCTCCACTAAGCCTGCTATAACAAAATGGCTGAAACAATAGAACCTTATCTTCTCACAGTTCTGGAGGCTAGAATCTAAGATCAAGGTGTGGGCAGGACTGGTTTCTCCTGAATCCTCTCTCCTTGGCTTGCAGATGGGGCCTCCTCCCTATGTCTTCACATGGTCTCCCTCTGTGTGTGTCTGTGTCCTGATCTTATAAGGATACCAGTTAGATTGGATCATCTAATGAATTCGAGGCTCATCTAATGACATCATTTAAACTTAATCACAGGTTGGAATGTGGCTCAGTGGCAGAGCAGTTTCCTAGCATGTTGGAGTTCAATCCCCAGCTCTACCAAAAAAAAAAAAATGTTAATGAGGGCCAGGCATAGAAGTTCACAACTGTAATCCCAGCATTTGTGAGGCTGAGGTTGTTCAGGCCAGCCTGAATCATCTCTTCAAAGACCTTATCTCCAAATAGTCAATTCTCACATACTGACAGGAGTTCAACAATAAATGGGGATGTGGCACAATTCAGCCCATCAGAGAGTTCCTAAGTGAGGAGAAACCAGTCCAGCCTTGAGATCACACCTTCAGTGGTGATTAGAAGGACCTGCTCATGGAAAGGCACAGCATTATGAAATCTGGCTATCTGGAGGGAGACAGGACAAATGCTGTTTAGGTTGAAGGAAGTGGAGGGAGATGCCATTTAAGATCAAAGTTGGCCCCACTGTAGGCTTGGGAGTAGTAGAGATGCAGCTCTTGTGCAAATACCTGATCCCAACTTCTGCTACTCATGGAGCTGGTCTAGGGAGATCTAGACAGTCAGTCTGGTTGCCAGGGTCATTCACCAGATTTGTTTTACTACTTTAAAAAGAAGGAACGTTGAGTTACAAATAAGTGAAAGAGAATGAATGGCTGGATGGTGGAAGTGCTCCTCACTCTTGCCTTTCGCATGGGGAAGGGACGCTGGACCACAGGCATCCCATTCATGTAAGCTGTGGGATGAACCATGGGCTTATCAGGAGTTGTCTTTCCAGTTCATCCTCATGTAAAGGTTTCCATGGCTACCCTGCTACCCACACTCACCCCCTGACTGCAGCCCAGTCTGACACATCGTTTCCACTCACCACCAGCAGAGGCAAAAAGACCTGGACCATGAGGGAAAGAGCAAGGGCATATGACCTGCCCAACTGGAGCGGGGGAGGCACAGCCTTCTGGAGATGAGGCTACTCCACAAATTTGCCAAACCTCGGGGAAAAAGCACTGCTCTTGGGACTCAAAATAAGGGAATAGAGGAAACACAGCTCTCGTCCCAGAGTGGCTTGACGATCAAAGAAACCACAGGGTAAATGCTTTGTGTGAAGGGTTGTCACAGAGGCAAGTGTTGCGTACAAGGGTGCATGGTGGTCAGAAGAGGGTGAGGTTCCTGTCTAATTTGTCCATGAAAGAATCATCAAGCTTGAGTTGAAACTTAAAGAATGATTTAAAAAGTAGCTATGTCTTCTAATCTTTGTGGAGGGCTTGCTAATGTGTGCCACGCACTGTGCTAAAGGCTGCGTAAGCATCATGCTTGTTTCACAGATGTGTAAACTAAGGGTTGGAGATGTTCTAACTTTCCTAATGCCACACAGCTGATAGTGGCAGATATACCCTCAGAGGCACAAAGAAGGCAAGGTATTGAGTACATATTTGTGGAATTAAAACAAATTAACTGCCAGCCTGTCTGACTCCAGACATCATGGAATAGAGGAGGGAAGGGAAGGAGAGCTTTTGCAGAGAGAGTAGCATTCTGAAGACAGAGAGGTGACAAGGTTTACAATTCTAGAGGCTGAGAAAAGGTTGGAAGCCCATGGGATGAGAAAGGGGCAGGAAATGGGGGCAGCGATAAGAGTGGGTTGCCAGAGGCTACTTTTTGGAAAGAGCCCTCAGGTTGTCAATCGGAGTGTGGATATTAAAACGGAAGCTCTTTGTGCTGAAAGTAGGATTTGTAGTCAGAAAGAGCCTGAACTAGCATCATTTTGACAGTCTTAAGATCAGAGGGATACTTGGTCACACTTTGGGATCAACAGAAAGGCAAGCTGTGTCCTAGGAGCTTCTGCAGGAGTGAACTCTACTCCATCTCCTGAAAGTCATGGAGTTTTTGGGAGCTGAATGGCTGTCTATCCCTGCCAGCCAGATATGGTCTCCATTTTGTTGCTGGGTTCACAGAGGCAGTGCCCCCAAGCCTTTCACACTGATTACACACTGATTGCTGCCTGCTGTGATGCTCTATCCAGCCTTGTGTTTAGACATCCTTAGGTGCCCACAAAGGGCCCTTCATTCTCACAGAATGAAGCATCCATTGTTTTCTAGGATTGTACTTCATTCATCTTTTCTCTTTTCATTTTGTGACTTTTGTGTGTCATGGGGAAGGAACATTAGGCTAAAAACTGCTCTAAATAATACACAATTCCTTAAAGAGGAACTCATAAATAGTTTCCTGACTCAGTACCAATCAGGAAGTGAGAATTTTTTTCTGAAAAAGCAGAAGTCCTACCCTGTTCAACTGCCAGAGCTACAGGAAAGAGAGCCACAGTCTTTATCAAAGCACAAGATACAACAAAAGCATTTGGGGACCTTTCCTTTGTTCAATCATAAAATAATACAAAAAAAACCAAAAAACCAGAGACACACCACAACTGCCCACCGTTGACTGAAATTCGGCCTCTAGTACACAAAAATATGAAGTAGATTACAGACTGGAAGAGGCTAGAAGCAGCAGTAGGAGCCATAGGGGAAGCAGGAGGGTAAGGGTCAGTGTGATGCAAGGTTGTGGACCCCCTTATTAGAGTTTTCACTGCTATGACCAAATACTTGGCAGAAACAATTTAAGGGAGGGCATATTTATTTTGGCTCATGGTTTCCAGTATTTCAATCCACTGTACTTGGTGCCATTGATTCTGAGCCCATGATGAGGTAACACAACATACTAGTGGGAGCAGATTCTTCATCTCATGGCACCCAGAAAGCAGTGAGAGAGGAAGGGA